GGCACCAAAATCTCAGTGTCCAAAACAGAACTCATTATCCACTCCCTCCTAAAATCTCCCCTCTTCAACGTTCCTACATGTTAATATTATCCCCATATTCCCAGTTACCCAGACTAACAACCTCATTGTTATCCTCAACTCTCACTCACCCCACATCCAATCCACCGCCAAATCCTTTCCTTTCTACCTTCATAACATGTCTCATATATGCCCCCTTCTCTCTGCTCACATCCTAGCTCAGGGTCTTCTTGTTAACTGTCTAGACAAGAAGTGCTTTCCAATTGGTCTATCTACTCCATTTAACCTCTACTCAGCTGCCAATGTGATTTTCCTCAAGTATAGATGTGACCCTGTCATCCTCCTATACAAATAAACTCCAATGATACCCTATTATTTGCAGGATCAAATATAAATGTCGTTATTTTGGCATTTAAAGCTTTTCTCAACTTGGTTCCTTCCTAGCTATCCACTCATTTTAACACTATACTCCTTTACACAAAGCCTTTGATTCATCTGGCCACACTGGTCTACTTGCTAGTCTTCACATATGACACACCACCTCCAGGCTCCATGCCTTTGCACTGAAAGTCTCCCAATGCCTACAATGCTCTCTCTCCTCACCTCCTTTTCTTAAGTTTCCCTGGCTTCCTTCACAACTCAGTTCAACTCCCAACTTTCGCAGGCTTTTTCTGGTCCCCACAGCTGATAATGCATTCCCCTCTGAAAATGTCTCCATTTACTCTGTGTGTGTGTGTGTGTGTGTGTGTGTGTGTGTGTGTGTGTGTGTGTATATATATTATACATACCTAGTTATTTTCATGTTTTCTCCCCCATTAGAATGTGAAAGCAGAGACTGTTTTTGCTTTCCCTACATCTTCAGAGCTTGGCACAACTCCTGGCACACAGTGACTTATGTCTACTAAGGAGTCTCCACTGGTGACCATGATGCCATATCCTCGCCTGAGCTTGGCTATGTATACACATACATATATGAATACAGCTTAAGCTTACAATCAACTGGGCACCCTTCAGAATTGAGCTGTTATCTTACTGTCCTCTTGCTTCAGTGAAAACTCTTCTCAGCTGGTTATCTGGGAAGGTCTAAGGATGTTCAGAATTACCAACAGATCAAATGCCCTTCTCCCAAGTTCTTTGAGGTGATGCACCAATCAGAAAAGTGTTAACCATACATATTAGGGTCAGACTAAATGATCTTTAAGGTCCTTTCAAACTCTAAAACCTCCAAATACTTCAAGGATCTATGACTTTCAACAATGTGTATTATTGACTTCACGAACCCTGCTAGTTCCCAAAGATCTAGGACAGGTTTTCAGACTCCTAAACCCAGATGAAGAGTTACTGTGGCTGAAAAACGGTGTCACCATGAAGCCAACATGGTGATGACCCTCTCTTAAATTAGCTAGATTTTCCTCAGATAACAGATAGATAGTCCATCATCAGGTCCACTCAAAACCTTTCCAGCTTGACAGGACAAGCCAGAACTTGTACCTTCAAAAACCCACAGTTACTTCCATAGCAGAATGATATACTGAAGTAGGATTTCGATGGAGAATAAGCCTATTATTCTCCTAATAATAATAGCCTACATTCACATAGGGTTTTAAAGTTCACAGATCCCTTTCACCTATATCTCACTTGTGCCTCACAACAACACTGTAACAAAGAGCAAAAGGATTATCTAATTTCATTTCACAGATGAAGAAACTGAGACAAACTGATTTGCCCACAATCACACTGAAAGTAAAACCCAGTCTTTGGAGGCCCATTCAAAGGAATTTTTTTTTAACCAAACCACAGATGCAACATACTCCTGAACCAACCTCAGGATATGATCTACTTTAAGTTCAATTAAACACAAGTGATTACAGATTTTTAGAGTTGAAATGGATCATAGAGATCATCTAGACGAGAGGTCCTTAATCATTTTTTTGTCTTGGACCTGCGATCCATTATGAAGTCTACAGAAGTCAGATTTCTTCTCAAAATGATGTTCTGAAAACAATTACGTATAAAAACAATTAAATTGGAAACAATTATAGTTATGAAAATTTTTTTAAAATTTCATGATTATATGTTAAGAACCCTGATCTAGATGAAACTCTTCATTTCATGAGAAAATACAGAAAGAGCATGATAAGGCAATTTGTTCCCAATAATCTGGTAAGTTAGTGGCAGATGCAGGATAACTCATCTGACTCCCAGTTCTCAATGTTTTCTACCATATCACACTGCTTCCCAAAATGCCAATTGTGAAAGTGCATAAAATAAAAATATGTATGATATAAGGAGGGAATCAATTCTGCTTTTAGTCTTAAGATAAGACAACTGTCAGCATCTTCCTTTAATTATAAGTGTTTTATCAATTCAAAGCTTTCTAGTGGAAATTTTTTTTTCATCATAAAGTCAACAACTTATATTCTTGTGGAGGACAACATAGGGTTAAGTCAAGGAGACACTCCTGCTTCTTCACATCAATCAATATTACTTTATAAGAAATAACTGCTTTCACTTTAATATCTAAAATGGCAAAAACAATTATGTAAATTAATTTTTTCAAAGTGTTAGATTTAATGACCTGGTAGTTCATTTACACTCTCCAGTCCCAAGTCAAAGTTTCTAGAGACTGTAAAGGGAATATTCCCTTAAGAATTATTTTAAAAGATTAGAGAGATATAATAAGTTGGGAAAACTGTCAATGACATAACTTTTTTCTTGTTTGAGGATAACAATGTTAGTATAATGGTTTTCATATTCCATACAGAGTAAAAAACGTCTTGGGAACATTAAAAGCATATCTGAAGGACTGCCGTTGACCATGATCATCACACTGCTACAAATAAGAGGTCAAATTAGGAATTCAAATGCCCAGTGCTGGCGGGCAAGCTACTAAATAAGAAAAGCACATACACTTTCTCCTAAAAGCCACCACCACTTTTTAGGTACACTATTCACTTTAAAGAAAAATAAGAAAAAGAGAAAAACCTACTAGTGAAAAAACAGTGGGCACATTTTTCTCTGGAGTACAAGTCCTTCCCAAATTCATATTTCACTAACAGAGAAATAATTTAATGGCAAGCTAATGATTACTGCTTCAGAAAAGAAGCTTAATTTCCACAGGACTTTAAAGTTCGCAATGCACTGTTCCTACAACAATCATATTAGTCCCATTTTACAGATAAGGAGACTGAGGTTCTGATAAGTTAAACAACAGTTCATAAATGAATCCAGGTCTTTTGACTCCAAACCCATCACTCCACTACGTCACACTGCCATTCTCAGTATCCTATCGGGAAGCTACTCGATTCTAAAAAGTAAAGCCAACTCTGCAGGCACTCTCTAATATTTAATACAAAAATAAGGATGATGGATTATTGTCAAGTTTCTTTTCATTAACTTATGCAACTCATTGATGGCACCTATATACAATACAGTTTACACTGACATAAGAAAAAGTTAATTTTAATTAAACAAATGGGATTGATAAATAGATTGGATTTCCCCCCCCCCAAATCAGCACAAAACTTTATACTTCAAAGAAAATACTTGCCCCAGGCAATTTTAATTTTTTTTTTCTTCCAGCTGGGCAGTGGGGTTAAGTGATTTGCCCAGGGTCACACAGTAAGTGTTATGTGCCTGAAGCCGCATTTGAACTCAGGTCTTCCTGAATCCTGGGTGGGTACTTTATCCACTGCACCACCTAGCAGCCCCCTCAATTTTAACATTAGAACACACTCATTTTACTCTTGTACTTTTGTCCCACCTCAAAAATCTTTAACAAATATTAGTAGCACCAATGATTCCAGAATCCATTGACTTATTTTAAGTTGAGCATTTGGGAGGACTATTAAATTCTGAGCAAAACTGATTTGCTCATCATCTCTTCAAATCTATCATTAAAACTAGTGGGATTATTTGTTACATTACTATAACCATTATTCACAAAACTCAATGAAAAGGACCCATTAACATGTAATTCTAAAATGATGGATGTGATATTTCCTAAATTATTTCTAAATTTGCAAAATGTGAGCATCTGAATATAAACAAGAGATAATTATTAATAATTAGTTGAGCAATGGCATGGCCCTGTGACATCAATATAAAAAAGTTGACAAAAATGTGATATATACACAAGCAAAGGATAAAATGTGGCACTCTTTCCCCACTTTAGGGGGGGAAATTAAATAGGAGGAGTATACTTAGCTAATCACTAATGTCTATTAAAAATATCAAAATAAAATGACAGGTGTTAATCCTTAACTATTGTTCCTATACAATAGCATTAGGTCACTAGACATCCTCTTCACTAGTCACCATTCTTAAGGAAGTAAGATCTTATCCAATACACTAAAGTAAAACAACTGAAAAAATCTAAGAGAAACAACACTCTCAATGTCCCTAATAGTTCTGCACTAATGACATACTTACAGTAAAGCCTACTATACAAATTATGACCAGCGCAAATGAAGCCATTCATAATTCTTTTCTCCAAACCAAACCAGTTCCTTTGTTAGAATTACTATCTTTCTAGAGAGGGGAAACATTAAATATCTTCCTTTTTTAATTTTCAGGATACTGTTCAAACTTAAAATAATCTATCACAGTCTAAAACAGACTTACTAACAATTACTTGAAAAACATTACTGGAATCCAATTTATTATCTGAAATAAAAGAAATTTACTGAAGTTCAAAATATATTAAATTTAAGACTATAGATTATTTCAAAAAAGAGGTGTCTTTCCCACACTCTTAAGTGAGTTTCCAAAGTGCCTATTTTGCAAATGTAAACTGAAGAGTGGGCCATTATAGCAATTTAACTAGTATGGAGGTGTAGAGGTTGGGGGAGGGGAAAGAGAAGGCCATAGCCACTAGGACCCTCTAGTGAAAAGAACAAAGTGGCAGACCCTGAAAATCTGGGGAAGGGTTTTGGTGGATGTGAATGTGATTTTTTTTGTTTTTTAGGGAGGGCTGATCATACCTTTCCCCTTGGCATTGGTGCTGCTGTTGCTGCTGCTGCCAACTGCACAGGCTGAATCTTTCCTGAACCTCTTGCTCTGAGGTCTCACACTGGACCTTAAGAAATGATGCTGGTCCTGGGAGGAGGCCTGAAGGGGGGACGGGGCTTGCTGCAGGCTGGAGGAGGAAGGATTATTATTGTTATTATTATTGATAATCTTCTCCTCTTTCTTTGTGCTGTGGCTGGTCTCTTCAGCTGCTTCTCCTCCTCCAGCCCCTTCTCCTTCCAGGGAGTCCTCATCTGCTGATCTCTTGCCCAGCTTTTTGAGCCCTTCCTCCCCGCTGCTGCCGTCTCCCAACTTCACTGTCATCCTAGGGGAAGGGGGAAGAAGAAAGAAAAAAGGAAAAACCTCATGAGACCCGCAAAGGAGAGAAAATCCCTGGCCCAGAGAGGGGAGAAGTTTAGCTGCAGAAATTCCCTCTCAACATGGCCGCCGTTGTTTGTTACAAATCCCCTCTCGGCTCCTTTGCCTGTCCCGGCCCAACAGCCCGGGCCCGGTCTGCCAGGGGGCCGGGGACGGATCCCCAGCCCGCCCACCCCCCACCAGAACCGACCCGGAGGGCTCCGGACCCTTCCAAGGGGGGCTGGACGGCGGATTTGCCAAGGAAACGGCCCAGCCAAAGTCAGGCGTCTGAAGCGCTCGCGAAGAGAGAAAACCAGAGCAGCAGCAGCCCCAGACGGCGGAGACCCCGGGGAGCTGCGGGGCCCCCGAAGCCGCTGCAGGGCCCCCTCTCCGTCCTACCCATGCTGCGGGTCCTCGGGGCCGGGGGCTGTCTTCTTTCTCCTCACCATGGAGCCGAGGTGATCCGACCTACCCAGGGGGGGAAATGGTTCATCGTCCTAGATGCAGCAGCAGCTTCTCTGTGCGTGTGGAGCTCTCTCCTGCTCTGACTCTGGGGCTGGGGCTAGGGCTGGCCAAGGCTGCAAAGATTCCCAACTCCTTCCCCCTCCCCCCACGCTGCCCCCCCCCAAAAGGGGAAAGGACTACAACATTCTGCACACCTATTCCTGCCACTAGCTACAAGTTCACCCCAGGAAAGGGGCAGAGGGCCCAAGATCAAGTGCAGGAGGAGTCAACCTCAAGCTGGCCACTTTGCAAAGAGAACACCAAGGCTGAAAGGGGCTGTCACTTTTTTGCATTTAAAAAAATAAAATAAACAACAATTTAAGCCCCCAAATCCCTATAAGTTATTGTCTTCTGGAATCAGAAAAGAAGTTACTTCAAAGATATGATCCCCAGATAATTTCAGAATAAAGTAAAAAAAAGGTGTTTGAGGGTTTTTCTTTTTTTTTTCCCCAACAAAAGAGCCTGTTGCACCAAACACTTAGCTGAGCTTAGTTGAGTTTGATAGTGATTTCCGAGTAAGCTTGTAGGAATTCTTCCTTTAAAAATCTTTTTCATCATCATTGCCATCTCTCACCCACTGCATGTAAAATTCTGTAAGTTAAATATGCTCCTCAAAAAATGGCTTTGCTCAAAAATCAGTTTCCCTCAAAAACAACTTATGTAAATATCTCTGGACAAAACTATTAATCTATGTGTTATGAAACAAAACTAAATAGTATAAGTTCCTCATAGTCTTCAGGAACCCCAAGAACACAACCATTGCAGAAAAAACAACAACATTATTTAAAACTGAATTAACTAATTAATGCTATTGGACATACTAGATGCTATATAGAATGTATTAAAGAAATAAAGTGGTTTTTTTAGTAACAAGAAAACTTTAAAACTGGCATAGCTTCAGTACAGGGCCAATATTATATACTGTGTAAAACACAAATAGATCAAAAATTTGACTTTTCCCATATCTAATCTCTAATGCAAATCACTAATTCATATAACTGGTATAAATCAACAGTGACACAGACAAAAATAAAATACTATAAAAACTTCACAGAAGAATACAGATGTAAAAAAACATACTTTACAAGAACTGATTCAGGGGCACGGGGCAATATTACAACTTCTTATTCAATATTTTTTTCATAAAATTTAGAACTTATGAAGAAGAGCTTTGTTCGGTCTCAAATTTGTAAGGGGGGAGGCAAAGACTTTGGTTGCCATACCTTTACTTCAAGTGTTAGGCCAGCACCACACATTTAGCTTAATAAAACAGTCTTAAAACAATTTCCTTTAAAGTACAATTTGAGCAAACAAAATTTACCAAATACATTAAATGCAGATACTAAGCAGAACCAAGAACACCTGATTTTTCAGAACTGAAAAATGCCAAGAAACTAGCTAGTGTGTATACAGAAGGTACAGTCGTACAGAAAACTGCAGGTTCTAAAATTTTGCAACACAGTTGAAGCATTCTACAGAGAGGGTAACCCCGGCATTACTACCTGATGGTGCAGACAGGTGCAATTCCTTTTTCAACAGAAAAAAAAGAAAAAGAACAACAGCAGTCAAACATTGGTCATGGGAGGGAGGGCGGGGGTAGAGCGCACTAGCCTACTTTTCGACCTTTTACAGTACCACTGGTAAAACGACTACCCAACGTGTAATAAATCCCGGATCCTCAGGAAAGAGTATCCCTCAGACCATTCCAACAAGAATTGATTCATCCTATGCCTGGCACAGGTTGATCGTCCTTCCATACCACCTGGAAGATGCTTCCTGAAACAGGGCACCTTGCTTCTCATCTTTACGTTCCTCCAATCTGCCCTCCTGCCAACATTAGACTACTTTACTTCCGATTAGCCCATCTCCTGGCTCTGCTCTCTCCCTACAAGAAAATCCTCCACCGCCAAGACACAATGACAGGTCTGAACCTACGGTGGACCAAGCGGGTGCCCCCGATCTTTGGTGCTGCTCGCACTGCCGCTAACCCCACCCCAGCACAGACCAAGGATGGGGCCCCAAGATTCGCCGAGTGCTCATCCCTCCAGACCCCCTCCACCTCAAAGCAAGCGATCCGGCGCCCCAGGTATACCCCAGTCCTTTACCTTAGGCATCAAAGCTCAGATGCAGCCTGGCACCGCGGGCTCTCCGTCCGGCTGCTCGCAGTCCAGCGGTGTCCTCCCCGCTGCTCCCGGCTCACCACGCCCTTCCCCCCCGGCCCGGGCCCCCCGGAGCCCTCCCTCGCAGGCGGTAGCCCCGGTTGCCCAGGGCCGGGCCTCAGGCTCGGTCGGCCCGAGCCCGGCCGCCTCTACCGCCGCTCTGTCCCCTCCACCCCAGAGGAGGCTCTGGGCGGCCGCCGGCCGGCCGGCCGCCCGCGCTGGAGAAAAGGGCCGGGGGCAGTGTCCTCCGTATAGGGAGAAAGAGAGACACCGTGGACCGAGAGCCGGGCAGGGGCAGGTCCGCTCGGAGCCCCGGGCCCCGCAGCGAGGCGCGGCGCGACCCCGCGTTCGGGTCCGAGGGCGGGCCCCCGCCTCTCCGAGGGGAAGGCTGGCGACTGTCGGAAGCCCCGGCCGGTGCTGCGGTGCGCCGACCCCCCAGCCGCTCCCGACTCCCGGCAGCCTCTCTCGCGGCCGCGGCACTTCACCGCGGCGCTCGGCAGTTCCGGCTCCGGCAGCCGCAGAAGCAGAAGGCGCCGCAACGCGACCGCGCGCGCGGGGCAAGGGGCGCGCGCAGAAGGCCGGGGGGGGGGAAGGCGCTCGGGCACGAGCACGACGCCAACTTTCCTCAGCTTCCAACGGGGCGCCCCACAAGCTAATAGCTAATTGGCCAGGGGCTGGCGCGCGCGCCGCCCGGGAAAGGACCCGGGCTGGAAGATGGGTGGGTCCGAGAATGAAGTAATGTTATGATGCCTTTCCCCCTACTGTAACAGGCGGGGTCAATTCGGATTGGTGGAATGACAGCCAATAGGGAGTCAACAAAGAGAGGCATGATTGGTCCGGACAGTGTTGACTAATGCGTGGGAAAAACAGATTACCACAGAGTGCCTTAGTAAGAAAGGCAGTTCTTCCCCTGGACTTTGATAAGGAAATAGAAATGTTTCTAAATGATGGAGACACAATATTTTAATTTGTCGAAAGCGATGCCGGTTTAGACAGAGTCGTATCAAGTTATTCTGTCCTAAACTGCAAACACCAATTTAGAGGGTTATATGTGGTCTCATTCAATGACACCTGATGAATACAATTTAAAAAAAAATTAATGCTTACAGTGATAAAGACAATTGTGTTAATAAAGTGAGTGTTCTCATCTTCAAGTTATTGTCCAATCTTAGTTTAACCATTACCATCACATTCATTCCATCAAATGAAATTTTTTCCTTGCCTTCTGAAAGTAGTGAATTTCCTCCCTAAGAACTAACATTGAAGAAGAAACCTGGTCAACTAGTCCACCCTCTCATTTTAGAATGGAGCCCAGAAAGGTTAAGTAACATAGTCCTTAGTCCTTGACAGTAAATGGCAAAGCCAGGTTTCCCACCAAGGTCCTTCGACTTCAAATCCAGTGCTTTTTCTATTGTGTCATATTGCCTCTCATGGACAGGGCCTGTTTCACTTAATCTTTCTATCTAGGCATAATATTCTGCACATAGAATAATGTTTCAGTCAATCAATCAATCAATAGGTATTTATTAAGTGATGACTAGATGATAGGGTAACAAAAACAAATCAAAGAATTCTCACCACCATCTATCAAGGGGAGACAGGTAAATACAAAGTAGATATGTTGATTTGGGGTGAAAGGCATTAACATTTGGAGGGATCAGGAAGAGTTTTGTTTAGAAAGCAGCACTGAACTGAAGCCTTGGAGGAAGCTCGAGAATATGGGAGTTTTGTGAGGAAAGAGAATATTGCAGGAAAAGGGACAACTAATAGAAAGCCATAGAACAGGGGTGGGGAACCTGTGGCCTCAAGGAAACATGTGGCCTTCTAGGCCTTTTGACCAAGTCCATGTTTTACAGAACAAATCCTTTTATTAATGGGATTTGTTCTGTGAAGTTTGGATTCAGTCAAAGGGCCACACCTGAGGCCTAGAAGCCTCAGGCTCCCCACCGCTGCCACAGAGACTAGAGAAGAAATGTTATGTGTGAGCAACAATAAGAAGCCTGGTTTGGGCAGATAGTATATATAAAAGGGAGTTTTGAACATGTAATATGGGCCATACTGCTGCATTCTTTTTGGCCTTGACTTCTCCACCATGCATTCAGGTACCTCATAACTGGGTAGTCCCATCAGCCTTTGTACTACACCTCCTCAGTATTCTCGGCTCCCCTCACAGGAGGGTAGAACCATGAATTTGTCAACTTTAAAGAGAGGGCACAGGACAGATATCTCATTTCCCACCAGAATTCATTAGTTTTTAACTCCTTTGACTTCCCTAGCTGTGTTTATTTTAGACTTATTTGACTTTTCCACGTTCCCCAAACCCCCTGGAGGGACCTTCCCTTTCAGCTTTCTTTAGTGTTGTCTTTTATTATTAAATTGTAAGCTTCTTGAGGGTTGGAACTATCTTTCTTTTTTGTATTTGTGTTCCCCGTGCTTAGCACAGAGCCTGGCACATAGCAGGTACTTAATGTTTGTTGACTGACTAATGGGACTAAGTTCAAAAGGGCTTTAAATGTCAAAATAGTTTATATTTTATCTAAAGAGGCCACTGGAATCTATTGAGCATTGAAGTGAAAGAGTCATCCATGTACTTTAGGAAAATCTCTTTGATCTGTAATAGAGATAAACTAGAATCCTTTCCAAAAAGATCAAGGGTAAAACAAGGATGGTCATTGTCACACTCTCAAATATTGTACTAAAAATATTAGCTATAACAATAAGACAAGAAAATTGAAGGAATAAACAAAGCAATGAAGAAACAAAACTATTACTTTTTGCAGATGACATGACGGTATACACAGAGCACCCTACAGAATAAATTAATAACTAGTCAAAACATCAACTTTAGCAAAGTTGTAGGATGTAAAATAAACCCAGACTAATTATCAGCATTTCTGTATATTACCAACAAAACTCAAGCGGGAAGAGACAGAAAGTGAAATTCTATTTAAAATAATTATAGACAGTTTTTTAATACAAAATATTTGGTAGTCTACCTGTCAAGACATACACAGGAACTATATAAACATGATTGTAAAACACTCTTCACACGGAGATAGATCCAAACAAATGGATAAATATTAATCACTCATGTGTAGGCCAAGCCAAAATAATAAAAATAACTACCTATATTAATTTACTTATTCACTACCATACCAATCAAACTACCAAAGAATTACTTTATAGAGCTGGAAAAAATAATAACAAAATTCATCTGGAAAGAACAAAAGGTCAAGAATATCAAGTGAATCATTAAAAAAGATATGAGAAGAGGGGCAGTTAGGTGGCATAGTGAATAGAGTACCAGCCCTGGATTCAGGAGGACCTGAGTTCAAATCCAGCCTCAGACATATAAT